ATTCAGGCACACTCCATGCTTGATCTGTGGGCAATTCCTCTCAGAAGTGGAGGTCACGGTGGAGGTCGGAGGGCGGAAGGCGTTCCCTCAGTGGCTCTCCTCTTCTGAGATTGTAAAAACAAAAGTCAATGTAGTGTAAGCAGCTTGAAAGAAAGTAACTGAACTTTTTTAAATTTCTGGGAGCGGTTGCTCACACGCGGGCGGCACAGTGGTTAGCACCGTTACCGCACAGGAAGAAGGTCTTGAGTTCAGCTCTACCGTCGCTCTGTGTGGAGTTTGCATGTTCTTCCTGTTTTTGCGTGGGTTCTTTCCTTGTAGTCCGGCTTCCTGCCACAGTCCAACGACCTGCAGTTAGTGGCAATAGGTAATCGAAGAGTGTAAATTGGCGATAGGTGCGAATGGTTTTCTGCGTCTATGTGTTAGCCCTGTAACAGACTGGTGACCTGTCGAGGTGCACCCTGCTTCTCGCCCTAAGATAGCTGGGATAGGCTCGAGCTGCCCTGTGACACTGGAAAAGAAACACAGCAGAGAATGGATGGGTGGCTGATCTAACGTAAACATTTCCAGTCACTTTCAGTTCAAGCTGCTTAGCATGATCTCACACTTGCCAATTTCTCTATCTCTTCCCCCTCTGTTGTGTGTGTGAGATATTCTCACTTTTGCCATTTCTTCTGTCCCTTTCAACTGATCTGTGTGGTGGTGTGTGTGTTGTGTGTGTGTGTGTGTGTGGTGTGTGTGTGTTTTTTGTGTGGTGTGTGTCCCACATATTGCATACTCTGCTTTTGTCCTCAAATCAGGTAGGAAGTGTCTGTGTGGTTGAGCTGGTCTGGTCTGTCTAGATTTCACTAGATAGATCAGGCTGCACCCACCTGTGAAACAGGTGGAGGGTCACCAGGACATGCAGAACTCGCTGACAGACTCCTGGCACCTCTTGCCTCCTTAGTAGAAAGGGGCCACTCCCAGAGGCAGAGGGCTGTGAGGCACCGCCCGCCGGGCCCTCTCCTTTGGGAAAACCCTCAACACTGGGCCGAACCTTGGAGTTCTGTATGTCCATTCAGGCACACTCCATGCTTGATCTGTGGGCAATTCCTCTCAGAAGTGGAGGTCACGGTGGAGGCGTCGGAGGGCGGAAGGCGTTCCCTCAGTGGCTCTCCTCTTCTGAGATTGTGTAAAAACAAAAGTCAATGTAGTGTAAGCAGCTTGAAAGAAAGTAACTGAACTTTTTAAATTTCTGGAGACGGTTGCTCACACGCGGCGGCACAGTGGTTAGCACCGTTACCGCACAGGAAGAAGGTCTTGAGTTCAGCTCTACCGTCGCTCTGTGTGGAGTTTGCATGTTCTTCCTGTTTTGCGTGGGTCTTTCCTTGTACTCCGGCTTCCTGCCACAGTCCAACGACCTGCAGTTAGTGGCAATAGGTAATCGAAGAGTGTAAATTGGCGATAGGTGCGAATGGTTTTCTGCGTCTATGTGTTAGCCCTGTAACAGACTGGTGACCTGTCGAGGGTGCACCCTGCTTCTCGCCCTAAGATAGCTGGGATAGGCTCGAGCTGCCCTGTGACACTGGAAAAGAAACACAGCAGAGAATGGATGGGTGGCTGATCTAACGTAAACATTTCCAGTCACTTTCAGTTCAAGCTGCTTAGCATGATCTCACATTTGCCAATTTCTCTATCTCTTCCCCCTCTGTTGTGTGTGTGTGAGATATTCTCACTTTTGCCATTTCTTCTGTCCCTTTCAACTGATCTGTGAGTGTGTGTGTGTGTGGTGTGTGTGTGTGTGTGTGTGTGTGGTGTGTCCCACATATTGCATACTCTGCTTTGTCCTCAAATCAGGTAGGAAGTGTCTGTGTGGTTGAGCTGGTCTGGTCTGTCTAGACTTTCACTAGATAGATCAGGCTGCACCCACCTGTGAAACAGGTGGAGGGTCACCAGGACATGCAGAACTCGCTGACAGACTCCTGGCCACCTCTTGCCTCCTTAGTAGAAAGGGCCACTCCCAGAGGCAGAGGGCTGTGAGGCACCGCCGCCGGGCCCTCTCCTTTGGGAAAACCCTCAACACTGGGCCGAACCTTGGAGTTCTGTATGTCCATTCAGGCACACTCCATGCTTGATCTGTGGGCAATTCCTCTCAGAAGTGGAGGTCACGGTGGAGGCGTCGGAGGGCGGAAGGCGTTCCCTCAGTGGCTCTCCTCTTCTGAGATTGTGTAAAAACAAAAGTCAATGTAGTGTAAGCAGCTTGAAAGAAAGTAACTGAACTTTTTTAAATTTCTGGGAGACGGTTGCTCACACGCGGGCGCACAGTGGTTAGCACCGTTACCGCACAGGAAGAAGGTCTTGAGTTCAGCTCTACCGTCGCTCTGTGTGGAGTTTGCATGTTCTTCCTGTTTTGCGTGGGTTCTTTCCTTGTACTCCGGCTTCCTGCCACAGTCCAACGACCTGCAGTTAGTGGCAATAGGTAATCGAAGAGTGTAAATTGGCGATAGGTGCGAATGGTTTTCTGCGTCTATGTGTTAGCCCTGTAACAGACTGGTGACCTGTCGAGGGTGCACCCTGCTTCTCGCCCTAAGATAGCTGGGATAGGCTCGAGCTGCCCTGTGACACTGGAAAAGAAACACAGCAGAGAATGGATGGGTGGCTGATCAAACGTAAACATTTCCAGTCACTTTCAGTTCAAGCTGCTTAGCATGATCTCACATTTGCCAATTTCTCTATCTCTTCCCCCTCTGTTGTGTGTGTGTGAGATATTCTCACTTTTGCCATTTCTTCTGTCCCTTTCAACTGATCTGTGTGTGTGTGTGTGTGGTGTGTGTGTGTGTGTGTGGTGTGTCCCACATATTGCATACTCTGCTTTTGTCCTCAAATCAGGTAGGAAGTGTCTGTGTGGTTGAGCTGGTCTGGTCTGTCTAGACTTTCACTAGATAGATCAGGCTGCACCCACCTGTGAAACAGGTGGAGGGTCACCAGGACATGCAGAACTGCTGACAGACTCCTGGCCACCTCTTGCCTCCTTAGTAGAAAGGGGCCACTCCCAGAGGCAGAGGGCTGTGAGGCACCGCCCGCCGGGCCCTCTCCTTTGGGAAAACCCTCAACACTGGGCCGAACCTTGGAGTTCTGTATGTCCATTCAGGCACACTCCATGCTTGATCTGTGGGCAATTCCTCTCAGAATGGAGGTCACGGTGGAGGCGTCGGAGGGCGGAAGGCGTTCCCTCAGTGGCTCTCCTCTTCTGAGATTGTGTAAAACAAAAGTCAATGTAGTGTAAGCACTTGAAAGAAAGTAACTGAACTTTTTTAAATTTCTGGGAGACGGTTGCTCACACGCGGGCGGCACAGTGGTTAGCACCGTTACCGCACAGGAAGAAGGTCTTGAGTTCAGCTCTACCGTCGCTCTGTGTGGAGTTTGCATGTTCTTCCTGTTTTGCGTGGGTTCTTTCCTTGTACTCCGGCTTCCTGCCACAGTCCAACGACCTGCAGTTAGTGGCAATAGGTAATCGAAGAGTGTAAATTGGCGATAGGTGCGAATGGTTTCTGCGTCTATGTGTTAGCCTGTAACAGACTGGTGACTGTCGAGGGTGCACCCTGCTTCTCGCCCTAAGATAGCTGGGATAGGCTCGAGCTGCCCTGTGACACTGGAAAAGAAACACAGCAGAGAATGGATGGGTGGCTGATCTAACGTAAACATTTCCAGTCACTTTCAGTTCAAGCTGCTTAGCATGATCTACATTTGCCAATTCTCTATTCTTCCCCTCTGTTGTGTGTGTAGTATTCTCATTTGCCATTCTTCTTCCCTTTCACTGATTGTGGTGTGTGTGAGATATTCTCACTTTTGCCATTTCTTCTGTCCCTTTCAACTGATCTGTGTGTGTGTGTGTTGTGTGTGTGTGTGTGTGTGTGTGTGTGTGTGTGTGTGTTGTCCCACATATTGCATACTCTGCTTTTGTCCTCAAATCAGGTAGGAAGTGTCTGTGTGGTTGAGCTGGTCTGGTCTGTCTAGACTTTCACTAGATAGATCAGGCTGCACCCACCTGTGAAACAGGTGGAGGGTCACCAGGACATGCAGAACTCGCTGACAGACTCCTGGCCACCTCTTGCCTCCTTAGTAGAAAGGGGCCACTCCCAGAGGCAGAGGGCTGTGAGGCACCGCCCGCCGGGCCCTCTCCTTTGGGAAAACCCTCAACACTGGGCGAACCTTGGAGTTCTGTATGTCCATTCAGGCACACTCCATGCTTGATCTGTGGGCAATTCCTCTCAGAAGTGAGGTCACGGTGGAGGCGTGGAGGGCGGAAGCGTTCCTCGTGGCTCTCCTCTTCTGAGATTGTGTAAAAACAAAAGTTAATGTAGTGTAAGCAGCTTGAAAGAAAGTAACTGAACTTTTTTAAATTTCTGGGAGACGGTTGCTCACACGCGGGCGCACAGTGGTTAGCACCGTTACCACACAGGAAGAAGGTCTTGAGTTCAGCTCTACCGTCGCTCTGTGGGAGTTTGCATTTCTTCCTGTTTTGCGTGGGTCTTTCCTTGTAGTCCGGCTTCCTGCCACAGTCCAACGACCTGCAGTTAGTGGCAATAGGTAATCGAAGAGTGTAAAGTGGCGATAGGTGCGAATGGTTTTCGCGTCTATGTGTTAGCCCTGTAACAGACTGGTGACCTGTCGAGGGTGCACCCGCTTCTCGCCCTAAGATAGCTGGGATAGGCTCGAGTGCTCCTGTGACACTGGAAAAGAAACACAGCAGAGAATGGATGGGTGGATGATCTAACGTAAACATTCCAGTCACTTTCAGTTCAAGCTGCTTAGCATGATCTCACATTTGCCAATTTCTCTATCTCTTCCCCCTCTGTTGTGTGTGTGTTGAGATATTCTCACTTTGCCATTTCTTCTGTCCCTTTCAACTGATCTTGAGTGAGTGTGTGGAGGGCGGAAGGCGTTCCCTCAGTGGCTCTCCTCTTCTGAGATTGTGTAAAAACATAATCAATGTAGTGTAGCAGCTTGAAAAGAAAGTAATGAACTTGTTGAGATGGTTGATCAAACTGAATATTACTGTCATGTCCAGTTACGCTACATGTATATGTATTTGTTTTGTTTCTCTCACTTCTTTCTTGCTTCCCTGCTCACAACGCATGCTGGCGACCTATCATGGGCTCCCGTTGCTGTCCTCACACCTGCAAGCAATTTCTCACCTGAGGTTCATATCCTGTTTACCAGCCACTTCTGAAGCAGTTGCTTGGAGCCCTTTGTCGCTGGACTACTGTGAACTTCGTTAGTGCAATTCTAGCTTTGGAAATATTTTGATTTCTCTTTGTGCTTTGCTGGCATTTAACATTTGTCCTTGTATATAGATTTCCGTGCCCCGCCTTGAGACCCTGTTCGTGAGTGTGGCAGTTGCAGTGAGCCTGTGGAGCCCCCCACCCTCCATGGACCTCTGGATTCGCTGGACCCCTCTCCCCACTTGTATATAGTGCACTCTGTGTCATTAAATAAAAAAAATGTTATTGTGATTCGTGTCTGCGCTTGAGTCCTGCTCAGCCTTGACAATTTTAGTCACTTTCGGTTCAAGCTGCTTCGATTCCCATGATCTCACATTTGCCATTTGTGTGTGTGGTGTGTTTGTCCCACATATTGCATACTCTGCTTTTGTCCTCAAATCGGGTAGGAAGTGTCTGTGTGGTTGAGCTGGTCTGGTCTGTCTAGACTTTCACTAGATAGATCAGGCTGCACCACCTGTGAAACAGGTGGAGGGTCACCAGGACATGCAGAACTCTTGCCTCCTTAGTAGAAAGGGCCACTGCCAGAGGCGGAGGGCTGTGAGGCATCCAACCCCATCTCATCAATAGGGGGTATGATCTGAATAACAATAGATTGATAATTGCAAGTTTCAATAAGTGGAAGAGGACATTTATCAGTGACAAATGAATTTATCCAATAGAACATT